TAAGATAATGGCTGATCTGTAGCTCGACTCCAATTGCCCCCCCCACCCCCCCGCTGCGTATCCCTTGATACCCTGACCTCACAAATATCTATCCACCTCGGTCTTGAAAATCTGAATGGACTTAGCATCCGCAGGTCAATTGGTAGTTATATATCGTAGAACAAGCTGATCTCAGTCAGACATGTTATATCTGACCTGAAATTACTGAGTTCCAGCTTCACACTGCTTCCAGTCATCCTTGCAGGAAAATGGACAAGGCTTAAGGACAAGGTGGTCCAACCCTTTGGCCGCTGAGGGCCAGATGCTCTATTTGAGAAACGTCTGTTGTTGTTGTTGAGGTATCTTCTGGGTGTGGCCAGCCACCGAGGAATCAAATCCCCAACAGAAATAAAGCCTCCAGGACAGAAACAGCACATTGTCAAAATTGGCATTGTATTGAGAGAGACTGGGACTGTATTTCCATCCCACCTCTTGGCACATTGGGGGACTCTATAAAAACAGACCTGCGCCGTTCGGTTTGTGTCTGAATGGGCGGAAGCCTTCAGAAATACATTCTTTCCTTGGCATACACTCGAAACCTTTGGAAATTACAAGACTTTCAAAACTGATCCATTAAAAGTGCCTTTTAATCTCTAGTAAGAAACGCTTCCCATCCCCGTCCTTGTAATTTGCTTTCTTTTATATCAGGTTTGTGTAAATACTAAGGATGAAATCATGCGCTTTCCTCCCTGGTGGGTTTTTTTTGTCCGCTCGACTGGCTCCGGCCTCCTGCCCTCCTCCGTTCCACCATCGGTGGCCGTGCTTTCAGCCACGAGGCCCCGAAACTCTGAAGCACTCTTCCTCCGCCTCGCCCCTTCCTTCCCCATCTTCAATTCACGCTTGAAGACCTTCCTCTTCGACCAGTGCCTTACGGTCACCTTCCCCACCCCCCCCCCCCCGCCTCCATCCCCGCGGCTTGGTGTCGTGCTCCGCCACAGTCAAGCGCTCTGACACGCTGCCCTGCTTGAGGTCGGGGCGAAACCCGAGGCAAGTTTCCTTATTCCATTCTACACACACGCACACACACACACACACACGCGCGCGCGCCTCTTAACCAGCCGTAAATAGGAACCCGGTTGCTAGTGGATCGGTGGATCGCTTTTTGGCTCAATCGGCTGCCGAGTTTCGCCCACGAAACACACGGTCGCTTCACTTAACGCCATCTCCCGTGCGGCGCTTAACGGACGTCTCGACCGTGTATCGAGGCGCCCTAGCAAATACGCGGATTATTATAATAACAATAATAATTATTATGGTTATCGTGGTCGTGGAACTTACTCGTGCACTGGAGGCTCTGCTTGTAGATCCCCCAGATGAACTCCCCGCACAGATCGCACCAGCTGGGCTGAGTCTGGGTGCACGGGTTGAAGTCGTGTCCCTCGCCTGGTCTCTCGGTCAGCCTGGGGTCCTGGTCCCCCAACCCCGTCAGCAACAGCCGGCTCCTCGCCGGTGGCCGGCCGGCCCTGACCCGGCTCAGGATGTCTGCGCCTCTGCCCCCGGGGGTGATGCGCATGGCGTTAGTCCTCTCCAAACCCGGGGAGCGCGAGGTCCTGCTGAGGGTCGCTTCCATCGGGCTGCGGTCTTTCAGGTCCCGCAGTTCAATCAGTTCCGCCATAACAATATTCTGTTCCCTGAACTGTTATAATAATAATAATAATAATAATAATAAGAGCAATAACATTCCTTGCATTTGACGTAGAGTCCTTATCGCTCACGTCTTCGGGCGACAGACTGGAAGCGACGGAGGCATTCAATTAAATTATATATGTATATAAATAAAAAAAATTCTTCCTCCTCCTCCTCCACTCAAGAATAAGGGCGACAAAGTGGCCAAAAATAAGAGAGACCGAATACTTAACTCCCGACAATAAAAGTCCTGCCAAAATGACATTGACATGAACAAAACCTCCCTCCCTTCAGAGCAGAAACTTGGGGGGGGGAGCAGCAAACAAGAGAGGTATTGTGTTTCTTTTTTTTCCTTCGTATACACATATAGATTATAAATATATATATACAGAGAAAAAAAAACACACAAAAGTTCAAGAGTTAAGTCGTATCAAACGTGGAAAAGTGCAGCAACGTCCAGCCCAAGGGCTTCTTTTCTTTTTAACTTCTTTTCTATTCTTTTTTCTCTCTCCTTCTCTCTCTGTGTGTGTTCTTTTCTTTCTTCCTTCTTTTTTTCTCCTTTCTCTCTCCTTCTCCCCCCTTGTTTTTCCCCCTCCGTCCTTCTCCTCTTCCAGGTTCCTCGGTCAAGACGACTTCTTAAAACGAATCCTCCAAAAGATTAATTAAACCCCAAGGTTTTGCAACTCAAGATTTTTTTTTTGGGGGGGGGAGGGAAAAGGAAGGAAAATAAAGCCCAAATGCAGGAGGGGTTGGGGGGAGAGAGGGGAAATGACAAGTACAGGGATATGGTTATTATTTTCTTTGCAGAAAAAGAAAAAAAGGAATCCAGACTCGATCTTAACAAGTCACGAAGTGCAAGAAGTTGATGCTCCAGAGGGCGAGGCAATAGAAAGAGAGAGAGAGAGAGGAGAGAGAAAGAGAGAAGAGAGAGATGGAGGAGGAGTTGGGGGCTGAAACCTCCTCCTCACTGCAACCATGACCGCAGCTGCTGCCTGCATCAGTGTCAGCTCCACCACTGCAATGCACTAGAATCAGAAATTTATGGCACGGCAAAGAAGAAAGCCTTTCTTGCTCTGCCCTTGTCCCTGTCTGTCTGTCTGTCTGTCTGTCTACCCGCGCCGGCCTCCTCCCCCCACTCCAGATCACGACCCCCACCCCCCGACCCGCGGTCCGTTCGCCCGAAACGCTTCGAGACGTCTGGAAGGCGCGGTGGGGAGCCGTGCGCGTCAAATGCGAGGGTTGTTGTTGTTATTGTTAAACGCGCTCGCTTTCCGCCCCCGAAAACCTGTCCTTCCCCCCACCCCCTCCCCAGCCCCCTCCACACCCACACACCCCTCTCTAACTTACTCTTCTTTTTCAAAAGCATATTTAAAATCCTGGCGCTCGTCTTCAAATCCCTCCGTTCCACCATCGGTGGCCGAGCTTTTCAGCCACTACACCCCGAAACTCTGGAACACTCTCCCTCTCGAACCCCCACCCCCCACCCCCCCACCCCTCTCTTGAAGGCCAATACGGATTCAGCTTCATTGTTCTGGAATGCTCCGTGTAACGTGAACGTTAATTCCATCGCCGGAGATTGAAATAGGTCGACCACCGCGGTTCTCCGGGACTAATTCTCTGAGCTGAACAGCGAGGTTTAATGAAAGCACGTCTACAGTCCGATGAAATCTGCGATAAACCTGCTGCGTTAAGGAAGGTTTCCTGGTGGCTGCGTTTCCACCAACGTAGCTCGATTGAACAAAACGATTATTGTAGAAAGCGTATTCGAGACCGGATTAACTGGATCACTTGAAGGATTCAAACTCCTGTGCCCGTGCCAAGCTTTGTGGCTGATGTATCGCTGTGACTGCATTCTACCCTGCAGTTATAAATCACTGAAGAAAAGCTCAAATCTTTCTGAAGATGGTGCAAGATCGACAGCTTGATGAACAAGCTCATGCTGGATTTCGCTTGCCAGATGCCTCGAGAAGTGGCTCGAGTCTGCCGCAGGGCCTGGTTTCGGCCGCATTCACGTCGATCATAGTAATTTTTTATTGCATCGTTGAAACGTCTCAAAGCCCTTTGTGGGTTTTTTTTTAAAAAAAAAGCAGATGCAACGGGTGGAATGGAGAGTAACTGTGCATTTCCAGTTGTGCTCTTGTTTGGATACAGACTTTTTACCAAATAGCTGCTCAATAACTAATGCATTATTTATATATATATATATGTGTGTACATATATCTATATTTGCCCACAAAATGTAGTCAATTCACTTTACAGCATACTCTGTGAAGTGCTTTGAGATGCCTTGAAGACGTGATAAGGCGCTTTATCAAGTGCGAAGAGTATTATACGCACATATATATTACACACACTTAAGCTTCATCAACAAATCCACTGCATTCTGTGAAGAGAGATCAACCTCTTTCAGCAACGTGAGACTAAAATGAAGTTGCAGAATGGTTTCAGCGCCTCATATCACAGCAGGTGGCATTCACTGATTCCCAGCACGCACGTACACACGCACACCCACCCACCCACAACACCCACATACGCGCAGAAGTCACACAGGGCTGCAACTCCGCGGGAAAATTATTTGCAGACTCCTTGGAACCGTTCTGGGAACCTTCCATTTATGGAGCTGAACCGACGCTCCCACTTGAATTCGATTTGGGAAAAATATTTTTTCTCGTGGTTTGAAAATAGCCCATTTGCCCTAATATACATTTTCCACATTCCTGGCCAGGATTACCACGGTTGGGGAGTTGCTGCCGGCATTCGGAAGCAGAAACGATTCACAGTTTGCAGCTTACTCCCTTCAGCAACCTCCAGCACTTATATGAAGATGGTGGGGGAGGGGGTTGGCATTTAATAGCCGAGCGGATAAGATATTCCAGCTTTCTCTTTTCCTTATTTTCATCCTTATTTTCTGGGCTAATAATCCCTTCAAAAACAATTGTTACGCAAAACAAAAACGACTCTTTGTGTGACGCTGCTGTGCGCAATTGCCTGCCGCGTTTCGCCCACAAAGTACACAGTCAATTCACTTTACAGGACATTGTGAAGCGCTTCGAGACGTCTCGAAGATGTGATAAGGCGCTATATCAAATGCAAGGATTATTGCTATCTTTTCTTCTCCCCATTTCTTTTCCTGTCTTTTCTTTTCCAAGGTTTGTTTTGCCGTTGCTAGCTTAGTTTTCTCTTGCATTTGATTTCAGTGTTGTTATTTGTTCTCTCGTCACCTTATCTGCATCCTCTTTGCATCCATTTATTACTCCAGAGAAAATCTCAAGCGCTGTGCATACTGCCAGAATGCAGAGGTCTTCAAGAAAGAAACACAAACTGCATACAGATCATCGCTTACAGCACATTTTTATAGTGTCATGAATACACATGAATTCCAAAATAACCAAAGATTTCAATGCCTTAGTTCAGTGAAAATGGGAGGGTTCGAATCAATCTAATGTCCCTGTAGAGATGCAGCTGTGAACTTGCTTAAAATTGTTCCACGTTTCCACTGGGGCTACTAATTGGAAATACACAGGGTGTGTCACCCCAGAATGGAACAGACTGTTATCTAAACTTGAATTAACAACAACAAATTGCATTGATATGGTCCCTTTCATGTCGGGAGGAGGTCCCGAGGTGCTGAAGGAATAGATTTTGTTGCTGGTTGTCCCATTCCCAGCACAGAGCCAACGCAGCCAGACAGGATAAGTTCTGGACGGAGAATTATTCCACAATTACTATCGAAGCCATTGACAGTAAGGTTAAGCTAAAAAGCAGAGCACGAGAAGTCTCGGGAGTCAGAAACGTCCACAGCATTTAACGATGTTCATCTCATTTCATTGACAAGGGAGCTGAAACCAGTATTCAATGCAAAGAAAGAGATTGTCTCCGGCTGTTATTGTGCCTTTGTGCTTGTTTTTTGACCTCATTTCTGGAAGTGTGGTACACAGTACAGGAAGAGGAAGCAGTGTGGTGCAAGCTTTGTTTCTACCGTTATATGTATTGGTCTTTGATGAACCTATGCACCTGAAAGATAGGATTCTTATTCAGCCTTTCCCGTCTGCCATAAGTTTCATAAGACTTTCTGTTTAGCCTAGTGGGTAAAGGTACCTAGTCATACAGATCAGAATTACCCAGATTCAAATACTGTGCTGAGTTAACTCATCTCAACCAGATGGGACAATTTCGGTTACAAACACACCTTCAGTAAGTAACGGCAAGACCACAATTCTCTTTGAACGAAAAGCAGGAAATGACACTGCTTTAAACTGCATTTCACGACTGAAATGTTTGAGCTGTCTGGGAAGCGCTGAAACCTTCACCCCTATGTGAAAGGCGCCGTATCAAACATAAGTATTATAATTTTATTGTTATTATTAGAGTTCCCCTATTTACACTGCTTAGCAGATGAACCACTTCTGTTATCAATAAGTATCTGCAGAAATGCAACTTTCTAAAAATGTGGAATTTCTGAATAAATTAATTAGTAAACTTCATCTCAACAGTTCTGACGAGAGGTCATCGACCTGAAACGTTAACTCACTTTCCTCTCTCCAAAGATGCTGCCTGACCTGCTGAGTCTTCCCGACGACTTCTCTTTTCATTTCATCTCAACTGAAGTCAACTCCAAACACATCGATTGGTTGCTCACAGCTATCCCGATTCAACACTGACAAACATCCATTAGCACAAGGCACACAAAATAAACACAAGAGAGTGATTTGCCGCTAACCGCTCTGGGTTTCGCTCACAAAGCACTTAGCAAATTAATATTTTAGAAATACTATCAATTAACGCATCCCTTATCCACCTGAACAAACAGGATTAGGTCAATCATTGTGTTGAGTGCTGTGAAGTTTGATAGAAGTTCTCGACAGCGAATGTACAAATGACTAGATATCGTGCACTTCTGTTCTGTTCTGTCTCCATTCACAGGACACAGCTGTGTGCTCCCTGTCAGTATTTTTACTGTCAGATTTTTAATTGCTCTTGCAGGTTTTTGGCAGATTCTGACATGAGGTCACACGCTTTCTTGTGCTTTGGCCAGTGCTTCACCTGACACTGTCTGGAAAAGGATTTTTAAACAAAAAAGTAAATTGAAAAGCAAACATTCATTGTTCCATGGATCAATGCATCAGATTCCCTTGAATAAAAGTTTGTGGTGTCAAGATGGCTTAGCTTAGCTCAGTGGAAGAGAATGATGGTCAATAGCTTGGACTTTAGTCCAACCCAGGCAGATTAAGATAGAGTTTCCTTTCTTTGATAGCTGTCGGGTAAATGAAGTTTGTTTGTGCAGAGAGCCCAGCACCTCTTGTGACATTGTGAATGGAAAGTTCAGCCTGACACCCTCTCATTAAGCCACATAAAAGATCATTTTTCATTACCGATTAGCGAGTGTCCTTCACAGCTGCGTGGAGGCTTTGATGAACTTTGCTTATAACTGTCATGCTGCATAGACCGCTCCGAGCTTAACCAGGTTTTATCTGCTTACCTCTGACAGTACCATTCGTTCTGGCACCTTGAGCATCGTTTCGCTGCCTCCGCCCCACAGAGTGCACATTTTGGACGGTCTGGGATCAGATTCTCCATTACGTCCAGATTGTAGGTTTCTGCCAATCTGCATTGAGAACGAGAGGATCCTGGGTGATATGATACGATATATGAAAGTATCCCACCATGGCCTTTACACTCTAACAAATGGAGCAGAGTCCTGCTGTTAATCCACTTCATAATCTCAAATATTTTTTTATTTTATTAGAAAATAATATCTCAGGGTACAGTAGATAGTTTGGGGAACACAACATGTCAAGCGACTGCCAGGATGGTGGAATGCGAACTAGATGGGCCTTCTTTCGCCAGCAAATTCTTGTGTTCTTATTTTCTAAAGAAACAAACTTAACTACATTTGCCTTTCCTCATGACTCAGGAATCCAGGGATGTACAGAACTGGGAAAGATCATTGCAACCCACCTGGCTGGCCCCACCTGGTCCAAACATCTTGCATGGAAGTAGAATTAAGTCTGGTTCTAGAGGAAAGTTGAAGTAAAACTATGTGTGGATCAACCTACTTCAACTTCTCTCTGACCTCAGCTTCACTCTGCTTCCTCTAAATGCATCCAAGGCCGTTCAGCCTTTAGAACACATACGGATGTCGTGATGGGATATGTCCAGCATTACATCATACATTATTTGTTGATATTCCCACAAGGGTTGCAACGTTCCAGGATATTTTGTTTGAAAAGTTAGTTGAATTGGTTGCAGTGTGTTTCTGTTGAACTCTTTATTTCCACAATAATGTATTTAAACAGGGAGAAAAGGTGTACCACCGAACATTAACCATTGCAATCATACTGTTAGGCTGACATATTTTTAGGATAACAGTAACAGAACAAGCGGTGTTTCTTACTTGCGGGCTTGATGAAGCAAATCCTTGTCTGAAGGGTTAAATACATTTATCACTTGGTGCTTGGCAATAGCTTGCCACTTGCCAGTGTTCTCTCGAGTGAGCCTATCCCAAATTTCAGGGACCTATTGCCAGAAAGTACCAATAGATAGAAATAAAATTGGCAGAATGCATCTATGCAACAGCAAAAACATTCTCCCACATCTTTAAAAGTATAACGACAAGTTGAAAAAGCTTTAAAAGGAACTAATGGGATGCTGAATTTTATAAATAGCGCCTGCAGACTATGAGAGGAGATCTGATAGTGGTCGTTTTTAAAATTGTGAGGGGTTTTGATAAGGTAAATAGAGAGAAATTATTTCCACGAGTCAGTGAGTCAGTAACTGGAGCACAGAGATTTAGGTATTTACTGAAAGGTCAAAGGAGTGACGGGACTATGCTGGAGGCAGAATTCAGATTAGTTTTTAAGAAGGAATTAAATACATATCTGAAAAGCAGAAATGTTAAAAGGATATGGAAAAATGCAAGACTAAACAAGAGAACTCTTTCAGAGAACCAGCTCAGGTACAATAGGGCAATTAGCTTTCTTCTACGCTCTAGTTCTATGGTTCTATGGTACACGGCATTTGGTTCTCATTGACAGTGAAGAGGAAAGCACATCTGTGGTACACTGCACTCATTCTCTATTTCATAAATCAACAAATAAAAAAAAATAAAACATTGGACTCCTCAATCCACGACTGTTTGTAGGACGTTGCTGTGTGCAATTGGCTGCCACGTTTTGTCCACAAAATATACAGTCAATTCACTTTACAGTATGTTCTGTGAAGCACTTCTCGAAGACGTGATAAGGTGCTATATATAAAATGCAAGGATTATTATTATTATTATTATCATAATATTGAACCTGTTCCAAGACGAGATTCCTCTTTGGAGGTGCAGGGTCTGTTACGGAGAGATGACTGAGAAAACGCTGCAGTTCCACCAGAATGGGCAACTGGTCAAGAAGGACTTCGGTCAAGAAGCCTTGTAGCTGGTGAACAGAAACACTGCTACTGAGTTACTCAAACATTGGGTACAGAAATGTTATAACAGGACATTATAAATCATTCTCAAACACTGCCTATGTTAAATAGAATAGGTGCATGACGCTAAAATGCACAAGAAGAGATTTCTAACCAACGGACAACTTTCTGGGCAACTTCAGAGAGAACCTGACCTGAAAGAGGAATCTGAGCGGCAGTTTTATTATTGTACTGGCACTGTTTGGACACGATAGAAACATAGGAAGAGGAGTAGGCTGTTCATCCCCTCAAGCCTGTTCCGCCATTCCATCAGATCATGGCCGATCTGTACCTCAACTCCAATTACCCGCCCTTGCTCCGTATCCCTTGATACCCTGACCTAACAAATATCTATCCACCCCAGTCTTAAAAAAAATTAATGAATCCAGCATCCACAGCCTTTTGGGGGAAGAGAGTTCCAGATTTCCACTAATAGCCCAATAAAATCTGGCAGATGGCAACTGTGCTGCTGCAAATTGCACTGCTCTCACTCGCTCGCATGTGCAGAGCTCCAACTCACGCACATGAAATGCCCTCTTGTAATATCGTTAAAAAGAATCCTTTGTCCTGCCTGCTCTTTACTCAGATATCTCCACGGCAGTCTAAATTGGGCACCAGACACCTAAAATGCAATTCGCTTTCAGTTAAAAGCAAGTCGTGTTCAGTCGCCCCAGACTGTGTCATGCGCGTGGATTATACGATCAGATTTGCTCAACAGGCAATTGCAATGGTGTGTGAGATCACGAGCACATCAAACCGGCCCTCACATTTCAACATCACCGCCTGCTGTCAGTTACCGTTTACTGCATCTACAGTTACAGTCCTAGTTGATGCTGAGAGAACGGTACAGTGGTATGCAAGTGAAAACTGGCAAATTAATACGACGTTTCACAATTGCTAAACGTAGTGGCTGTCAAACATTCACTGACCTTTGACTCAAAGCAGGTGATGCATAAGCAGGATAGAAAAAGATGGGAAAGAATGAAGGGGGGAAAGATGAAAGTGCCACATGATCTCAACACACACACAAGCTTAATACATCTTTTGATATATTCGCTGACGAATCCCATCCCAATCAGCCATCCAGAAAGTTCGCCTTTTCACAACCCGTAGCGGATTATCAGCGCTGTACCTTGAGTAGCTGGTTCTTGTTGTAGCTGTTGAAATCATACCTCTGCTGGCATTCAGGCCTCATCACCAGATTGTAGAGTGCGAGCCACACCTGTCCGTCCAGTTTGGTCATTTTCAGGTAGTCCTCGGGGGGCACTTTGCACCACCTGCCATCGTTGTACTTGTGTAGCTCGCCTACAAGGGGCACAAACCCACCCAACCAGGGCATCGAGCTCACACCTTACGCTGCAAAGATTTCAGCCAACGTTTTTTCAAGACCTTTCAAAACTGTGGATTAGTGTTCTGGAAACATTCACTCAGCACACCTATTGCTTACAACTATCTACCTGCGTTGCTTAAATCATTCATTAAAATTTTGTATGCTAACGTAGAAAAAAAAAGCTTCACTCCCACAAGACTACACGGAGCAAAGCTCTGCTGTCATTTGACATTCTTCTCCCTATTACCAATGCTTTAACATTTGACATTTAATTTAGTTAAAAGATTCAACACTATATTTTATGTGATGTGTTTTTTCTTAGTATAGAGTTCAGGGTTTCAGTAGGAGCGACAACCCACATTCTAAATCTCAGTAGCTGATGCCCTGATGCACCCACCTTTTGAAGTGCGTCGGCTCCAGGGGCAGTGTTGCACCAGGCAGACCAGGACACAGGGCAGATTGTGCGTGTTGAGGAGCCGTGACTGGATGCTCAATGACAAGCTGCAGGGAGATTGAAACAACAGCATAATAGCAAAGAGATTACTACAAAACCCATATCAGTGCTAAAGAACAAGGCCAGATCCTTCCCATGCTCTAGCAAATGGTAACAAGAAGTAATGGCTGACCTTCAATTTGAACTTCTACTCTGCGGGGGTAGCTGTTGAAACATCTGGGAGAGAGTTACAGTGAGCTGGAGTACTGTAAAGCTTTGCTACCTGCATTCTGTGCAGACATTTTGAATTCATTGAGAACGTTGTTGTGCTGTTACAGCAGTTCTTGTGCTCCTGGGACAACTAGAGGCATTGCTGACTAGTGTCTAGTGTTGCTCCAGGACCATTCTTACACAGATCTGACTGTTTGGTTGTACCTTTGGCTTGCTGTTGTTGTTGTTGTTTGGCTGTGTGAAGCCGTTTGAGAGAACCTCCCAACACACTATATAAACGTGAATTGTTTCTTGTTGTAAATAAGATAATGTGGAGCAGGCCAGATTAATCCAGGGTAGAGTGGAAGGTTTATTACATGCATGGGAAGTGCCACAGTACCCTCATTCCAGCTCAGCCGAATAGAGATGGATGAAAGCTCTCTATTGATTATTTCCGAGCAAATGCAAATCTTTAGAGCATATCTGCTCAGCATTAAGTCTAGGATGGTATTGGATTCATAAAATCACTCACAGTGGGAATGTAAAATGTTTCACTGATGCGGCAGAAAATGGGGCATTTTACTGAAAATTTTGCGCTAACAAGTTGTGACAAACATTCCATTCTTTTGGACTGACATCCTATTGAAACCGGATTCAATTAAAAAAAATTAAAATGTAACACATAATAACTTTAAAAAAATTCTTGACCAACACTTAATTGTTCCTTAATCCGGCTAACCATCTATTACATTAATTCTACATCATGAAATCTTCATCAATACACCGATATAACAGAGTGGACGCTCCCCTTTCATACCTGTCAATGTGATCAGTGATATAGCGAAGGACGGATAGAGCCTTCAGTGCAATTTCAAATTCCAGGTCCTCACTCTGTTTCTTTAACTCCTGTAAATAGATACGCTCATTAGAATGCAAAGAGCAAAAGTAGTCTTTCATTTCTTAAACCCATTTCCTTCACGGCCCAGCTGGACAATATCCACAGAAAGAGGAGCATCGAAATTCAACTCATTGAGGCTTACCAATTTTGTTCTTGAGTGTTCCAGTTCTGTGCTCCCATCTGCAGTTAATAACTTGCTTACAGCTACATTATAGACACTCCTCTAAATTATGCTTCTTAGGAATTTTTTTTCTCCAAAGTAAAAGTCAAATTTCTGCAATGCCCTCATCATAACAAGGCTTTTCTGATCTTTCTTTGAACTCTTGCCAAGCCATTCATATGCCTATGAAAGGCAAGGTGCCTAAAATTACACATTAAAATATGGTCTTACCACCAAGTTATACAAGCAAGGTCAGAAACTAATGTTGTGGGCTTCTGTTTCCTCCTTAGAGATTTCTCATTATTATTCAACCTGAACATCTGCACACTACAGATGACATTTCTATAAGTGCACAGTGGCTGGAGCCACATTTCCCAGAATATGGAATAACTTAGATCTATGCAGATTCGTGTAACCTTCAATCGCTTTATCGAAGCAACACTGGAAACTTCTACACGTCCCAACCCAGCTGTTACTAGGAGAAAGTGAATTGCTGTGGTTTTCAAATGCTACGGTTGCTTTCTTTTATATGAATTTGCTCCCTTCAAATCCTAAAATAATCCACTGTTGGTACTAAAAGCTAATCAACAGTGGGGAAATCCAGCCAACAGCAGGGTTGCTCCATCAAATACTTTTATATGCGTATTGCATTTAATGTTGCAACCGTATTGTTTTGAAACAATGGAACCCGGAGATTTGAGGGGGGTATTTGGGAAGGAATATAATCCTTGCATTGGCATTTGATATAGCACCTTATCGTGTCCTCAATCCACCAATCGACTAACAACCTACTTACTGCTAGGTAAACAGAGGCGCGTGGAGTAAGGAAACATTTTGCCCTGTTGGGAATCGAACCAGGTCTCTCGCTTGTGAGGTGAGTGTTCTAACCCCTGAGCCACAGGACTCTACAGGTGCAAATACAGAAATAGTGTTCTACTGAGTTGTCTCTCCTCTGCCACTGAATGCAACACAAAGTGCTGATTTATCCTCATTGACATTACTACATCAGTTTTTCTGTGTCTCCAACCTCCATAGATGTTTGTTTCTGTAGATCCTTGGATGGTTGCTTGTCCAGGTCCAGCTGTTCAGAGCATTCTGTTTGTGCGGCCAGCATGGTTATCTTTCGGTGGCAATAATCAGCAAGGTCCAGCACCAGATCCTCCCCAGACTCACACCCATCCTGTAAATCAAAATATTAAAGAAACATAGAAACAGGAGGAGGCCACTCATCCTATCAGATCATGGCTGATCTGTAACTCAGCTCCAATTACCCACCATTGTCCCATATCCCTTGTTACCCTGACCTAAAAAATATCTATCCATCTCATCCTGGAAAATTTAAATGAAACCGGCATCTACAACCTTTTGGGGGAGAGTTTCAGATTTCCACTACCATTTGGGTGAAAAAAATGCCTCCTGATTTCACTCCTAAATGGCCTAGCTCTTATTTTAAGATTATGCCCCCTTGTTCTGGATCCCCACCACCCACCAGAGGAAATAGTTTCTCTAAAATGGACAATATATTACACGTGTCTGAAAGGAAAATTTGGATTCAGTGAGATCTGCGTTAAGTCCAACATAAGAGTTACAAGGAAGATGCAATGTGTGGGGTAGCACTAAACCAAAGAGGATAAGAAAGTCAATGGTTACATCCCAATATGTGGTGTTAAATAACCGTAAACAGGGCAATGATGGAGCGGTTATAATGGCCCTCAGTATTCCTTCACTAGGCCAGAAGGAGTGAAAGAAAAAGTTATCAGCCAGAGTTCCTATTCCCTGCATTTTGTTTGGATGTAAGGAAAAGACAGGATCTGTGATGTCCCCTGCATGAAAAATGGCAAAAGTGTTCAGTTCCATGCAATTAGTATGCAAGATACCTACCTTGTGATAAAAGAGAGTTTCTAGGAGATTAATGATGGTTGCCTCGTGGTGAATCTGGACATCGAGAAAAAGAGAAACAATCACAATCTAAATTCACTCAACATGGAGACACAGTACCAAGTAGAGCAGTCAGACGGTAACCAACTCTTATTTAATAGTGAACTGAGGTATGAAGGGAACAGTTTTATCTCAAAGTACCATCACTGGAAATAGAAAAAAATACATCATTTAAGAGTAATTCCCTACCTGAAGCAAGAAATTCTCATTTAAAAATGTATGATAGTATGTATTATATTATTATACTATAATTATATTCCCTGCAACCAGCCTCCTCCAGGACTAGGCTATTCCACTGATAGATACTAAAGGGAGACCTGGAAAAACCCAACTGAGTTAGCAAAGCAGCTTGAGAGCCAATCTGGAGCAGCTCAAACCAAAGAAATCCCACTACATTGGAGCCTGATTATAATCCGTACAATTCTCACGATAATCTATGAAATCCCAACCAAAGTCCCAAAGTGAGGCTTGAACCCACAACTTTGCGGTTCAGAGGTGAAAGTGTTATCAAAAGCTCAGTTAAAAATGCATTATTATTGTTTTGAAAGATTGCTTTTTTCTCTCTCAATACATCCACTTTGCTCCACAAGTTCCAAGCCATAGTAGAGGATAAGCCCCTTATGATGATCTCACTCACCACTATGTATATGGGGAAGTGGCTTTTAGGGTTGAAATCCTGCAGCTTGCAGAGCACAGGAAACACCTTTTGCTTCCAAACTTCAACTGCGATGAGCTCATGGATGAGTGTGGGGACCTGCAATGCAATCACGCTATAGTTATCAGTTATAAAATATATTACTGAATAGTGCACAAATCAGAGAGCAGGGAGATATAATAATGTAAAGGTGCTGAGTGCAATAATTCATAGACCTGAGTCAAAAACTCAGTGATTTGGGGGTTTATTTTAGGAAAATTAAGCACGAGGTAACACAGTACTGTGCATCAATATGAGGCAGGATTATTGTATAAGTAGCTTTATAATTCTCTATGTCAAAGTTAGCAAGATATAAAGTCTGCATAAGCAATTCACTTACTAACTGAGCCATCGGAGAAGTACAGTTTAACGATATATGAAAGGAAAATTCAACAAAGTGCGATGGTTTTCCAACTATATTGGAGAATAAAAAAGTGGGGTCATGAAACAGTTCACATAGTTTTACTGCGCAAAAAGTGCAGCAAATAAAATCCCCCATTGCAAACAGTGCAGAGAAATTATGGTGTCTGCAATCTCCAAGTGAGCAGCATACTTTTTATTAATAAATTTGGCTGCGAAGGAATTGGTAAATAATTCCGTTGCTGGTCTTATTTTGAGGGCAGGTCAAGTAATGAAATGAACTGCTTACCTTCCCATAGGAAACCATGTATTCCTTGACAAATTCATCCTCGTTGGCGGAGGCATGAAGAATAGCCTGCATGTTTAGCTTTTCGATGTACTCATGTTGTCTGAACCATCTGTGAACAGAAGTGACACTTGACTTCAGCAAAACAATCAAATCAAGATCTCATCTATCTATCTATCTATCTATCTATCTATCTATCTATCTATCTATCTATCTATCTATCTATCTATCTATCTATCTATCTATCTATCTATCTATCTATCTATCTATCTATCTATCTATCTATCTATCTATCTATCTATCTATCTATCTATCTATCTATCTATCTATCTATCTATCTATCTATCTATCTATCTATCTATCTATCTATCTATCTATCTATCTATCTATCTATCTATCTATCTATCTCTATCTATCTATCTATCTATCTATCTATCTATCTATCTATCTATCTATCTATCTATCTATCTATCTATCTATCTATCTATCTATCTATCTATCTATCTATCTATCTATCTATCTATCTATCTATCTATCTATCTATCTATCTATCTATCTATCTATCTATCTATCTATCTATCTATCTATCTATCTATCTATCTATCTATCTATCTATCTATCTATCTATCTATCTCTATTTAAAGGTGAAAGGGGGGACGCGGATTTGAACAAGTGAGAGATGCCACAAAAAAAAGAGGAAGGACCATCGCGAGCAAGAGAAACAGTGGAATGTCGCTAAAAATGTATCTGCGGGATTGTTGGCCCGGAGAAACTGGGGAGAAACTGCTTTTTTTTCTCTTTTTCTTTTTGAACCGTATACCACGGGATCTTTAGCGTCAACTCCGAACAGCCCTGGACCTCATCGGGACAACCGCCCCTCAGACGAGGCGCCTCAAACCCCGACCCAGAGTCGCAATGCGTGGCTTTCGTCCACAACCTTCTGACTCAAAAGAGACCGAAGACTGAGGCCGGTCTGACAACGTGAACTCAAAGTAGTTATCGATAATAATAATAATAATAATAATAATCCTTGCATTTGATATAGCGCTTTTCACGTCGGGAGGACGTCCCAAAGCGCTTCACAGAACACACTGTAAAGTGAATTGACTGTATATTTGTGGGCGACCGACGGACACGGAAACCACAATTAGTTCATGAATGGCAGGAGATGGACGGATGGAGAGACAGACACAGAGAGAGAGAGAGAGAGTGAGAGAGAACGCGAGAGGGAGTGAGAGTGAGAGTGAGGGGGGGGGGGGGGGCGTCTGGAGAAGGTTGGCAAGAGCCGCGGCAATCCGGAGGGAGGTCACCGGAGCGAGCGCCCGGTTCTTCCCTCTCTCCCACTCCCCCCCTCCCTCACCCCCTCCCTCCCTCACTCACTCACCCCCTCCCTCCCTCCCTCACCCCTTCCCTCCCACTCATCTCCTCACTCCCCCCTCCCTCCCCCCCCCTCCCTCCCTCCCTCCCTCCACCCCTCCCCTCCCTCCTCCCCTCCCCTCCCTCCCCCCTCCCCCCCTCCCTCCCTCCCCCCCCTCACTCCCCCCCCCTCCCCCCCTCCCTCCCTCCCTCCCTCACTCCCCCCTCCCTCCCACTCATTTCCTCACTCCCACTCCCCCCCTCCTCCCTCCCTCCCCCCCCACTCACCCCCTCCCTCCCTCCCTCACCCCCCTCCCACTCATTTCCTCACTCCCCCCCCCCCCTCCCCCCTCCCTCACTCACTCACCCCTCCCTCCTCCCTCCCACTCCCCCCTCCCTCCCCTCCCACTCACCCCCTTCCCTCACCCCCTCCCTCCCACTCCCCCCCTCCCTCCCCCCCCCTCCCCCCCCCCCCCCCCCCTCCCTCCCTCCCCCCCTCCCCCCCCTCACTGACCGGGCCGAGCCGAGCTCTCGGAGCGGGAACTCCCGCAGGTCCCGTGTGTACCCCTCGGCCTCCGCCGGGAGCAGCAGCGGCGCCCGGTGAGGAGGAGGAGGAGGAGGCCGTGAGGAGGAGGAGGAGGAGGAGGAAGAGGCCGCCATGGCCGGTGCTGCCGAGTGACCGTTGGGGACCGTCTCCATGGCGACCCGACGCCCGCCCGCACTGCGCATGTGCCGGGCTCCGGGCTCGGGGGCGCCCCCTCCCGGCGCACAGTGGTCACTGCCACACAGTGCCCCATCCGCTCACTCACTCACTCACTCACTCACTCACTCTGACAGCAAAGGGATCCAATCAGTTTTTATTTACACCCCTATATATATAGATGTGTGTATATTTATATTTATTGGCTATAATAGATATTGATCCGTTGTAAGAGTTGGTACGCGCACCGCAAAGCGCTTTGAGACGTCGCGGCGACATGAGAGGGCGCAGTGTCGAACGCAGGGATTATTATTATTATTATTATTATTATTATTATTCATTATCGCTATTGTCATCGTTATTACTATCATTATCATTACTGTCGCTATTATTCATTATCGCTGTTGCTATCATCATTATCGTTATTATTCGTCATCGTTATTATTGTCGTTATTATTACTGTGGTTATTGTTATTATTATTATTATTATTATTATTATTATTATTATTATTATTATTGATGGATTGTCAATTATTTCTAATTATCATTATACCGGAGCCCTGTAGCGCAGCGGTTAGAACACTCGTCTCGCGAGCGAGGGGACCCGGGTTCGATTCCCGGGCAGGACAGGGGGAAACGTTGGGCGAGTTTCCTTACTCCACACACACACACACACACACACCTCCGTTTACCCAACAATAAGTAGGAACCCGTTTGTCAGTCGATCGACGGGTCACTTTTCCTGTGAGAAGCGCTTTGGGACGTCTCGACGACGTGATAAGGCGCTGTGTCAAATGCCGGGATTATCATTGTTAATATTATTATTATATTTATTGTCTGTCAGGTATTACTCCACCGGTCGGAATACGTCAATTACAACAACAGCAGCAGCAACACGTGGGTGTGGCATTTTTAAAAAATATTCGACCACGAGTGGCCAATGAAAACAACCGGAGGACACGAGCAAAGAGTCGTTAAACTGGGAGCCGAGCGAGGTACGTGGGGGGCAGACGTTTAGAAATTAAGGGCTTTTTTTTAAGCCATCCTGACTGAAAACAGATCGTGAAGGTAAAATATCACGCAAGAACCAGTAGATGGCAATGCGATACTGATTTACGTAATCAACGAACGGACTCGGCTTCAATTACACTTCCTTTTTGCAATCTCACGACAAACAGTGTTCTCTTGGACACCGAACTTTGCTCTTGGCTGTAGATATTTGTTCTGCAAGTTCAACCCTGACTGGTCTGCGGAACGCCACAGACGTCGCGAGCAGACTGAGCTACTTGTGCCAAGTGTGTGAATGCAAGAACGGAGATTGGGCGGAGAAAAGGGCTGCACTTTCCTAATAATAATAATAATAATCCTTGCATTTGATACGGCGCCTCATCACTTCTTAAGGACGTCTCAAAGCGCTTCACAGGATACACTGTAAAATAAGTTGACTGTGTATTTTGTGGGAGAAACGTGGCACACAGCAGCGTCCCCACAAACAGTCGTGGATTGAGTGACTGAATTATTGGTCAAGCGAGAAACTTCTGCTCATTTTCCAGCGAGAGAGAGAAGAAAAAGGACTGCATGCTTCCTGCTACAACTAATGAAGAGAAACCTGTAAGGATATGCATAAAGTCTATCTGTTGCGACTTCCAATAATCTACTTTTTGGGTTAAAATGTCTTAATTTTCAATCTCTGCTCCTATTTTAATGGTCCAATATCAAATAGCCTACTTACGTACTTCTTCTATCGTTGCTTATCATTTTAGAAAACTTGGAACATGGCCTCAATCTCATTTTGTCTCTTGAAAATATGCATGACCCAAATTCAGAATACATTTATCCATTAACATCCATAAGAGACCTAGAGTTGAGTTATGCAAATCAATAGAGGAGTAAAAAAAACTGCCAGTACACCCTTTAGAGAATGAAAAGGAAACCTTGGAGCCATCTACAACAGATTTCATTACGAGAGAAGCGCAAAAAATATTTCCCTAACACTCTATCCAAAAACGCCCACTGTTAACAATAATTAATAATAACCCTCGCATTCGATACAGCGCCTTATCACGTCTTCGAGACGTCTCAAAGCGCTTCGCAGAATATACTGGTAAAGCGAATTGACTGTATTTTGTGGGCGAAATCCAGCAGCCATTTGCGCACAGCAGTGTCCGGTATGACAAACAGTCGTGGATTGAGTGACCAAATTTTTATTAATATTTTTGTGACGGGATTATGACCCCCGGAAGAGCGATTCGCCGAAAGTCTAGCAATCAGGTTCCTACTTGCTGCTCGGTAGACAGACATGTATGTAGAGTAAGGAAACTTGCCTAAGCTTTCACCCTGACCCGCCCGGGAATCTAACCAAGGTCCTCTTGCTTGCGAGGTGCTCTAACCACTAAACTACAGGACCCCCACAAGATTAATTTTATATCCACAACACGTGAACGCGAAGATTGCAGAAGAGGAGTCATTTAGACAACAGAGTGTTTGAGGTTAGGCTTAGGGTTAAATCTTGTTTGTTGAGGGAGATATTTTTTATTATTTTGCGGCAATTAAAATTATACTGTGTGACATGATTGGTTTTAATGCGCTACCGGCCTTTGCGCTTGTAACACAGAAAGGTTCGCTAATGGCTTTGCATTGTGAAAACAATGTCCCTTTGAATTCGATCTCAAAATATTCTCTGCACGCTTACAAAATCACAGTTAGGGATTATCCCACAGTTGGTTCGAATTGTTTACGGAAAATTGGCAATTCTTGAACGCCCTTTTCAAATTGAAGAGACAAGCTGGAACATTTGCCACCAGGAACCCTAACAACAGCGGAGGCTCACGGTTACATTATATAACAGACGCATGAACTCCCAATTCATGCTATTACAAGATCGTGATAATAATAAATAATAATAACCCTTGCATTTGATACAGCGCCTTATCACGTCTTCCAGACGTCTCAAAGCGCTTCACAGAATGCACTGTAAAGTGAATTCACTGTATATTTTGTGGGTGAAACTCGGCAGCCAATTGCGCACAGCAGTGTCCCCAAATTTACCCCCGGAAAGCGATCCGCCAATCGACCAACAACTGGGTTCCTACAAACAGAGGTGTGTGGAGTAAGGAAACTTGCTCAAGCTTAAAAGCTTTATATTCATCTTAAAAGAGTGTATAAAATAGATTTGAAGCCAGAGTCACAAAAGTATATATGTGTACATGTGCCGGAGGCCACCACATTCCCCCCCACATTTGCACTGATGTGCCAATTTCATGATGCTTCCTGATGGAGTGACACAAATCAATCTGATCTGAATTGAAAGAGGGTGAAAAAGATTTCACTGTGTGTGTGTGTGTGTGTGTGTGCGTGCGCGTGCGTGCATCTGCACATCCTCAGTGAATTATCCTAACACCATAATGTCAACGATTCCTTGTAGGAAGCAATTCATTCCTTTGGTTTCCGTGCCTCTGCAGCCTCTCGGATTGACCCGCGGTGGCTCTGTACAACGTTTAAACACTGAGTCACGAAGTCAAGTGTGGGCAATGCTTCTTTCGACCGGACAACAGATCAGCACAGTGGGTTAGAGAGCGACTGCAGTCAAGTGCACTTCCGAAATTCTGATTACTGTGGGAGATAGGAAGTATGCTAACTATTTGACCGTTAGCTCAAGGGCCTCTGAACTTGTGGCTGCCTGGATCTTGGCACTGGGAACGTTCATCTCAAGCGACCGGCCTTATACCTCGTGCCTGTATTTTCATTGCAATAATTCAAGGGAGTCAGCCCGGAAGGTTTAAATCTGTGTGTGCTAAACCTGAGTAGATTCCGTCTGGGCGAGTGAGCACGCCATTGCAATGCTGCACTGAACAAGGTCGTGACTGCCTCTGAATTGCCGCACGCTGCCAAAGATACCGCTTGCCCTCAGATCCGATTGAAGATTGAAGAAGTGGGTGTGTTCCCAGTTCTTTTCCCCTCCCAGTTAAGCTGAGAAAGACACATGCACTGAACACACCGTGAGCTGTCAGTGAGAGAGAAAGAGAGAAAGAGAGAGAGAGAGAGAGAAAGAGTGCATGACTGGAACAGAACAGCCAATATTCCAGAGAGCCAGAGAGTGAGCGGGAGGCAGAGCGCCTGTCTAAAAGTCTTCGTGACAGAGCCAAGAGGAACAGAGAAACCACTGTAGGACAGACAGCAAAGGGGAACTTGGCTGCCGTTTAGTGCTATGTGTCTGTAGCGGTTGAAGCTGGTGCTGTGTTCAGAGCGAGCTGGTGACAGCTTCCAACCGTGAGCCAGTGACCCCTTCACATCCGAAGAGATTAATTACGAGAACAAGAGTTGGAACTTTTGTTCTTGACCTGTTGGGTCGTAAGGTCAGTCAGTTGGGAATTTGGGAGTAAGTTTTGCAGCTGTTTTCTTCCACTCCCCTTTCCGCTGCCAACCTCCTTTCTCTCACTCTCTCTCTCTCTCTCTCTCTCTCTCAAGTCTCAATCTTCAGACTGAGGCAGTGATAAGGGACGTTTAAGACTCGTTCCATCAAGTAAAAGCTTCTTGGCGAAGAAAAAAAAAGGAAAAAGGGATTGGGGTGAACGCTGTTCACGGAGATTGCGAATCCGACTTGAAACAAGGATGGCGTGGATTAACAAGGATGACCGTTTGCCCCAGAGAGCCGGTGGACGCGGGCTAACCATTGGAGTGTGTAGGCTGAGCACCTTTCTGCAGTTCCTGCTCCTGTCGGTGTGCGGAGAGAGGCTGAGCGGGTGGAGATCCTCAGAGCCACGACTGAAGCTCACCTACTCAGGTACAGTCCCGGCTGCTTTGCTTTGGAGTTTAGTACAGTACTGGATTTGGATGATGATCTGTATAAATCGTATCAACGTCTAAGTCGTACCTCTGCCCCAAGTCCCTCCTCTTCGACCGCGCCTTCAGCCACCCTCCTACCCCCACTCCTGCCCTCCACCCCTCCCTGCGGCCCGAACCCCCAGCTCGTGTCCAAATCCCTGACTGTCCAGCGCCTTGGGACGTCCTCCCGACGTGAAAGGCACTTAAACAAGTGTCATTTGTTGTTGTGATTTGCTGTTGACTCATACTTAAGTCAAATTAAATGTATGGTCTTAACTGATACAGTTCATTCAGTATCCATTCGGTATAATGGTGGATTCTCTGGATTTTTAAAGAAATTATTACAAAGCACAGGGGTGGAAAGAATTAATTTTACACACTCCATAGTATGGCAGAGCTTCGCTTTGCTCAGTGTTGTGTTGATGAACATTTGCCGTCTGCCCGTAAATATCAGGGGACCCTAACTCTCTTTAACCCTTACCCACCCACTCATTCTGTTGCACAATTCCAAAACATCTTCTTGCTTTGAGACGTCTCGAAGATGTGATAAGGTGGTATATCAGATGCAAGGATTATTATTATTATTATGCTTATTATTAATGGTATTCTGTTTGGACCCTGAACAATGACAACAACAACAACCACAAATTGTATTTACATAGAGCCTTTCATGTCGGGAGGACATCATGCTTTGGGTGTTGTTTGAGGCTGCAGTATTCACTCTTTTCTACTGATGAATGTGGCATAAATAGAACCATCCAAGCAAGAAATCCTTTTGATTGCCAAAAGTCTTTAGGAGCAGTACGTCAAGATAACACATCTCTCCATTACGCAAGCCTGATACGGTACGATCCCAACCCAATGCATACAAGCATTTTTTTGAGGGTCAGCCGGGGGTGTCTGACACACGTGGAAACCCATCACCGTTGCTTAAGAGTATCCAAGCCAAGCTGAGATTTCCAGGCATCCCACCTACATGTGGAAATCTCAGAGAGAGATTATTGGAATGGAATACGCTCTCTCTCTCTCTCGCTCTCCCTGGTGGGACACATCCTGCGTACCTAATTCCGGAGATGTACACACATCTCCCAGCAGTCTCCAGATAGCAACAGGAACATCTGTAAATCAATCTCTTCCCCCCACCATCCCACCACCACCTCCCCTAAATCACTCTACCCAACTGTCTTGCCAGATGTCAGCTAGCTCAGCGCAGAACAGGGACATCAAGCCAGAAAGTGTGCCTTTTGGAAGGACACTTAGCACCTCTCCGGGATCACGAGTTACATCTGAAATAATAGAAGATTGAGAAAACAATGAACAATTGAAGACATTCCTTGAAAGGAAAGATATGCATGTTTGGAAAGCTCAATTCCCAATGTGCTAACTCTTCAAGGGTTGACCCTCAACGCCATTCTTAATAACCCCGAACAACCTAGCGATGCGGCACTCTCACTCAAATAGGTCATCAGGAATAGGTCATGATGTGTGAAATGAAAATTATACTGATGTGGGGGGGGGGGGGGGGTGAAGCTCTTCTCAATTTAGTTAACAATATTGAATAGCGGAGAGAGCTTTATTTGTCTGATCTTTTGTTGAACCTGAGTTGGGAACGTTTGATGTGTCGTGGTGTAACAGGAGCTTTATTTTATTCAGTTCTATTCTATTGTATTCTATTCTGCTGAATTTGTGCTTCACCTGACTTGGGGTGTGTTTGATATTGACACTATTATTGCCTGAAAACGGAAGACCATCACATTGCACGGCACCGTGATCTCTATCGAGAGTATTAAAAAAAATGCAGTGTTTCGCCAGCAAAATATACAGTCGACCCACTTTACAGCGTATTCTGTGAAACGATCAAATGCGAGGTTTATTATTATTATTATTTTATTATTATAAAGGGTTCAGCGACTAATAATTCCCTTTGTGTGTTTGTGTTCCTTTGCTATTACGGTGACTCCCTGTGGTATCACACACCTACACAGATCAAAAATGGCAGAATGGGTTTGCGAATCTGACTCAGACTCTTTGTCACTACTGGACATTTTCTTATAAAAGAGATGGAAAGTCTGATCCCACATCACAAAGTTGTCCCCCGAAAACAGAACCTCTCCCTTGCAATACAAGAAACATTTTTTTCGTCAACATATCAATCGCTGCGTCGAAAGGTCTGTGAAATTAAATTGTTGGTTAATTCGGGCTAGACTTATAAAGGAGTGTTTCGTTTCGAGGCTGGGGCGAGAGATAGATTAATCTTACTGAGGCTAGGTCTTTGTAGTTCTCTCTCTCGAGGGATGAAAATCAAAGTTTAACGTTTCACTCAAACAATAATTGCAGTCGGAGTCTGGCCCAGAGATATCCTGAGCGACTAATTTGAAATCCGTCTTGTGTTTTGTCCCAGAATTGCGCGTTTAAAATGCCAACATCTGTGCCTGGGCTGGGAATGGATGCAGGGTTAAGCCACATTGAGGGGATTAGCAGGGTGGAGTCCTGTTGCTCAGTGGTTAGAGCGCTCGCCTCACAAGCAAGAGGACTTGGGTCCGATTCCAAGGAGGGCGAAACGTTGGGCAAATTTCCACCCACACGCCTCTGTTTACCCAGCAGTAAGTAGGAACCCGGTTGTTAGTCGACTGGCGGATTGCTTTTGCGGGGGTAATAATCCCTTCAAAAAAATAATAATAATAATTTGATCGCTCAATTCATGACTGTTTGTGGGACGCTGTTGTGCGCAATTGACTGCTGCGTTTTGCCCACAAAATATAGATTCAATTTTCACTTTAAAGTATATTCTGTGAAGCGCTTTGAGACGTCTCAAAGATGTTGTAAGGTGCTATACCAAATGCCAAGATTAATATTATTATTATTATTAATAATAATTATTATTATAGCGTGAAGCCAAAGCTACAATATCTCCCAATGATAGTGGGGGTGGGGGAGAGAATTGGAAATTCCTATCTCCTAGCAGCTGGTTAAGGGAGGGTTAGAAGCAATGGCCAGAGTGATAAATACTCTAAAAGGATCTTTTTGATTTAAGCCCAGAGTTGTGCTGTTTCGGTTTCAGTGAAACACACTGTGTACCTTCTCACCATTTCTTCACACTCAGTCAGTCAGGACACTTGGTGTGAGATACAAACCAGACAGATGCTGGAGTCTGTCACCTCCTCCTGAGAGAAAACGTTTAGCCATTCCCAGGAACTGAGCTCCAGTTGAGATTGTCGATGAGAGGAAACCATTCTTTAATCCTACGGCTTCTTATCTGTGGTGAACTGCAGAAAGTGCTACAAAATAATCCCAAATCAAGCTATTTTTTCCCCAACTGTGTCTTCAGCACTGTATACAACAACTTCAACAACAACTTACACTTATCTATACAGCCCCCTCCATCTCAGAGCGCTTGAGACACTATATATTACCGTACCCTATGATTTTCTCCCTCCCTCCCACTTTTCTCTGAAGGCATTTGACTCTTTAACTTCTGCTCCGTGTTGACTCCATGTGTGTCAGACACTCACCAGCCCATCAACCAAGAAATGTGCCTCACTCAACAGGGAACCTTGGATGAGCCTTGACTGAGGGTGTGTTCGGGCTATTGGTCTGTTTGTGAAAGGACATTAATTTGCCTTCGCCCAACGTCCAACACACGCTCTTCCTGTGGTCGGGGTTGGTGAACAGCAGGCAGGAATACATGAAACCTACCAAGGGGAGGGAGGGTGCGTATTTTCTCCATCCCCTGATCCCTTGTAACTATCCCTGATTATCAGCAGCAGCAACAACTTGCATTTACACGAGCGCCCCTCACGCAGGGTAGAGTCCCAGAGCGCTTGACAGTGGTGGAGCACGACACCGAGCCGGGGGGGGGGGGTGTGGGGGAAACCGTACGCGCGGTGGAAGGGGAAGAGCTTCAGGGCGTGATCTGCAGATGGGGAAGGAAGGGAGGGGCAAGGCGGAGGGATAAGAGGAGGAGAGTTCCAGAGTTTCGGGGGCGAGCATTACCAGTTTATGCATATATTAGGAACAATCAGAAATAATCGTCCGCCAGCGTTGGAATTCCATATTGCTGAATGCCCCCAATTCATGCAGCTGCAAGTTTGGACATTCTACTGTCAGTCGGTAAAATGGGGTGAATAGATCAGTCCCGTAAAAGTAACTGGAAACGCTGTTCTTTTTGAGGGAGGGGAAAGTCCAGGACAAAGCAGCTTTGAACAAACTTTTAAGGTCAATCGTGACTCATACCGAGAGGATAAAGCGAAGGGAGAAAGAGTCTCGCAAAGGTCAGTCTCCGTTAGGCATGGACTGGCTGAGGACACATATGGTGTTTGAGTGTCTGGCGAGCATTGCGTGTGTTTTCTTGGCTTCTCTTCAGATCTGAGATGTACTCCTCATTTTAATAATAATAATAATAATAATCCCTGCGTTTGATACAGCGCTTTATCACGTCTTCGAGACGTCTCAAAGCGCTTCACAGGATACACTGTCAAGCGAATTGACTGTGTATTTTGTGGGCGAAACGCAGCAGTGAATCGCGCACAGCAGTGACCCCACAAACAGCGGTGGATCGAGTGACCGCGTTTTTCAAAAGAAAAAAGTTGTTTGGAAGGGATTAATCATCTCAGAACGATGAGGCTGACATATCCTGACAAACTCGACTAGTCGGGAGTGCAGACCGCAGCCCCCTGGACTTTCTGAATGGTTCAGTTTCAAAGTGGCAGCGTTTTCATCGACCAAACCATTTGCAAAATGGTTTTACTTTCATCAACTCGCCTCGGGAAAGGAATTGTCTTTTGCGCAGCTTCAGTTGAGACGTTTCAATGTTGGATACTTAATCAAATGCAAGTGTGAGGAACACCATGAAGCTGCACGGGCTGTAAAAGGAGCTTCATTGCTTCCCAGTGTGACATGGCCATTTCCACGCCTTTGCCATCCACGTAGCGAATTGGTTGGAGAACTCGCCTTGCAAGC